GTGGGGGCTTGAACCCATGGCCTCTGGTCATGGGTACCTCACTCTTAACCAGTAGGCTAAGAGGTCATTGACAGATTTTAACATTGTTGCATACCTAGTACATTAATAGTTGCTTTAATTACAAAAATGTCCTTGAATTTTGGCAACTATTTTGGGTCATTTGTTAAGGGATACAAAATGCATTTCAAAACTATTAATTACAATAGTAGGATTTGTATTAGCATTCACCTAGATAAAAGGGCTTGTCCTTATTGATGTGGATTAATTTGAAGAAAAAAAAAAACATTACGACTAAAAAATACGACCAAAAATACAAATAATACTGAACACGTACGATAAGATACAACACGAAAAACACAAAATAAAAAACGGATTTAAATTAAAATTTAGTGTCATACTTATGATCGAATAAAAATAATACTGAGTTACAACACAACATAATTTTTCACCTCTTCTCTTAATAGTTAATTACATTAAAAAGCAAAGAAAAAAAAAAGCTAAACTCCAAAATTATGAGGCAAAAATTGAGGTTGGAGTGACGTGGCACATTGAAGTTAATTTACTACCAAAAAAAAAAAAACAAATAATAATAATAATAATAATACACTCTTTCATAAAATTGTTCACAAAGCCCCAACACCAAGAAAGTCTATAAAAGGTGGTGAGCTCTTATCCTCTGCGGCTGAGACTTCCATGGGCCAAACCTTCTGAGCCTTTGATGCGAAAAAATCATGCGGGTGATGATAATCTGACCGTTGGATGGCAAGAGGATAATGCAAATAGTTACACGAATTGGTCTCCATGTCCCATTCATTCTTAACGTAGTTATTATTACCACTGTAAATACCTGTGTCTGTGTGTTAAAAACATTATAGAAATAATAAAATTAAATGGGTCAAACAATTAAATAATTTAATTATCAACTGGAAAATGTTTTTATATGTTGGAAAATAGTACTCCCTAATTAGATGCCCCCTGGTTTATAATGTAAACACTGTTTTATTTAATTTGAGTAGCCACAATGGATTATTTTATGGCTAAATACAATATCCATAGTAATATAATGAATAAGAAAACGGTGGTAAAGAAACAATTAAAAAAAAAGAGTTAAAATAATTTTTGCAATTTGTAATTTTTTTTTTTACGCAATTTGTATTATACATGTATTGATCTTCATGTTCTTTCGGGGACATCTGATAAAATTGGAACGATACATAGAAGATTAGCATGACCCCTGCACAACGATGACACACATAATCGAGAAATGTATTGATCTTCGTAAATTGTAATTTTTTTTCTTATAAAATGCAATCAAAACTTTATTAATTCATAATTTGCAATCTCTATAGTGTTTCATGACCATAGAATCATCCACCAAAAATAAAAAAATAAAAAATGTATATAGTCAAAATTTATGAATATTTATCTCAATTTTGCATAAAAATATTATATATAACAAAATGAAAAAAATAAAATAATTGTATATGTTGATAAAATATTTCATCCCCAAAAACAATGAGAAAAATATATAGCAAATAAATTTATATATAGAAAACTAAAACATAAGCAAACAATGAAAAACAATAAAAATAAATAAGGATAAAACCAAAACCTGGATAATAACCAATAGAAGAAATATGCGTTTCCCACAATAATCCCCTGCTCCCCTGACCACCGCCGCCCAACTGAACCGCCGGTTGCTTGGCGTCCTCCGCCTCCCTGAAAACAAACTGCCCCGTTTTCCGGCGGCGGCCGGCGGTCGACTGCTCGCGGTACTTTCGGGCCATGACGACGTGCCAGTGGTTCTTGACTGCATTGTCCGTCCGGCCCGGAAAAAGACGGGCTATCAAGGCCCATTTGTTGCCGTAAGCCCGGTGGGCCGCCATCAGGCTCTCCTCCTCCTCCTCCGTGAAGGCCCGCCGGTTTATTCTCGGGTCCAGCTGGTTAAACCACCTCAACCTACAACTTTTACCTATTTCAAATAAATAAATAAATAAAATAAAATAAAATAAAATAACGATGGTTAGGCTGGCTCACAATAAGTAAATAAAAATTTGAGAAAAAAATAAAAATAATAATAAAACCTGATCGTCCATCTAATTTTGTGGCGATGAGATTCCAATTTTGGGGGCCGTAAAGGGCGACGAGCTCCTTAAGCTTGGAATCCTCGGCCGGCCGCCAGTGGCCACGTGTGCAGAGCTTCGACTGACCGGTGTGTGTGGAAATTACGTCAATGCCCTCGGACTCGGTCAGGCTCGTGTTGAGGTCGATCGTTTCATCGTCTTTTGTGAAGATTTCAGCCATTGGTTCATGAAAATGAAACCAAGTTGTGAGAAAATGGAGGGTGTTCTTTTTTTTTTTGAAAGATTTAGTTTTTTTATTAAAAAATAAAATAAAATTGATAAGTGAGAGTGGGACTTTTGGAGGGAGCAAAAATAGTTTGATATAATAATGCATTAACAAAAAAAGGTTGGATTTTAAAAGTAATTGTTAAAACTTAAAAGCACGGCAAGACGGACCAAAATAATTTTTTGTTGGAACATACAATAGAAACATCGTCGTGGAAAGACTACGGTCTCATTACTTAACCATTCTATCGAGGTTTTTTAACCGTTAGATAAACATGTAGATTGGTGTAGGATAATTAATCTTTAGTTAAAAACTCCGATGAAATAGTTTTGTAACGGCCGGCCGACCGTTGTGCGGCCGATATTGTCGGTTGGTTGCTTTTTCAAACAAAAAATGTCAGGGACGAAACGGTCCAAAAAAGGCGGTAGGCAGTAAAAAGGGGGCGGAGTATAGTAACACCACAACAAATGGGAAAATTAGTTAATAACAAGGTGGCCTTCTTGTTGTGTTCCTATAAGACCTATAAACGGGTCGAGTCGAGCTCAAGCTTATGGTGTTTGAGCTTGAGCCATTAACGAGCCGAGCTCGACTCGTTAAATAAACGAGCCAGAAATTGAATTTGAGCTCGGCTCATTAATAATGATTAACAAGCCAGAAATTGAGTTTGAGTTCGGCTAGTTAATAGTGATTAACGAGCCGAGTTCGTGCCTTAACGAGCTGATCTCGAGCTTTAACGAGCTGAATTATAGAAAATTATATAAATGTATGTTTCGAGTCTTATCAAGCCGGGCCAAACTCGGTAACCAGATTAGCTTTAAATAAACTCGAGTTCGAGTCTTAACGAATTGAGCCGTTTAAATTAATAGCACTATTTCCTACCAACAATCTAGTTAGTCTGTCTACCAAAAGTTGGGGCATTAATTTATGATGTTTTTAGTGCTTAGGAGAACATAAAAAACATTGATAAGTGTCCACAAAATATTCATCCAACACAAACATGTGATGGACGTACACATATTTTGAAGAATTGGACCTGCATGTACATGAGATGGGACATAAATTTCATATCATTGGACCCAAAAAAAAAAACTCGTTTTATTACACTTACTAAATAGCATAAAACTATTTTGACATATTTGGTTGACATAGAGGATGCCAACAAATAATGTTTAAATTTCACAGTTATTTATTTCAGAAAGAAATGTGATATGTAAAATAATCAATTTGTAACATGCGTTATTATATCATATATTATGTTATCTCTTATACTCTCATTGACGACTCCACGAACGCAGTCATCTCTTGGATGTCAACATTACTTATGTTGGAGCAAAAAAATACTAAAAACGAAAAATCGAGTAAAATTAGGTCGAGCCGAGCCAAGGTCGGGTTCAAAGGGCACTATTAGAGCTGTAAATGAGGCGAGCCAAGCTCGGGTTTTCACCTTTTAACGATCTGAATCCACCTGGGCTTGTTAAGTAGATGAATTAAAAATCCAGACCGAAATCGGCTCGTTTATTAATATTAATAGTTGAGTTCGAACCGTAACGAACCAAGCTTAAGCTTAACTAGTCAAACTATAATCACATAGAAAATATCGTTATAAAGTCTTAACAAACCTTATCGAGTCGAGTCGAACCCCGTTTGTTAACGAAACGAGTTTTAAATCAGTTCAAGCTCGACTCGTTTATTACACTAGCCAAGCCGAACTCAGAAGCCGCTCGTTTCATTCAACAGACCCACGCAGCACTATTGTAAATGTTGTAAAGAATATAAAAATGAATAATTAATGTTTGAGCCCTACCACATAAAAAGGTAGGAACATAGTTTTTGTTGTATATGTTTCCCATTGGAACTAAATTCGTGATGGAAAACTCATTTATTGATGTTAGAATAAGTTGATTTTCACAATTGTGACAGGCCAAAGTCTTGAATGCAAGTAACAAA